TGCTCAGATCATAAATTTTAAAAAATATTGAAAAAGATGCAAGCAAAACTATTATTACTTGATTTTTCTCCCATTTATGGTAGATCCCTGACTTCACTTCTTTCACCTCTCCATTTCAGCTCTCCCTTCATGACTGCATTACTCAGTCTATCACATTCAGGACATTTCTACAAGAACTTCACAACAACTACATTCATAACCTCATTTCTGCAAAGAATCACTTGGAATCACTTAAACTACCTTGCAGTTTCAGAAGCAGATAAGCTATATCCACCCACTATGACATTCAGTGAAGCAGCAAGCTGAAGGCTTTCTTACTTCCGATTCAAATACAGCAATCTTCTGTTCTGATTTCCCAGAATGAGAAGAAGAAGCAATAATATATCAGACTTCATAAAACATCAGCCTTTTCTCTGCATTGTCTTTGCTGACCAAAGTCCAGCAACTGTATAGATAGATGGGTTTTTTCCCCTGCCCTTCACTCCTTCCACAGCATCATGCAGAAAGTTAACATGGTGCTTAGCAACAACTAGCAGCTTCTGAAAATCTCAGCATTTCTGATGGAGATTAAAACTATGTGATTTCAGAGATAGATGGTTTAATCCTCTGGAGAAAAAATAAGCCTAACCTGGGGTGGGGAGAAAGGATACTCTTTAGCATTTATTATCAAATACAAACACACACACACACCCCTTACCAATTTTAGTTCTGTCACACAGTAAAAATAAAAAAACAAACCCACAGAGTTTGAACAAAAACGTTTCCTTCTTTGCTAATAGGCTTAATCTATTAATACATTTTGATTAGATGTTACATTTCTTTGTAGCAAGCTTTTGGCAGTGCATAACCAGATGCTCAATAATATCCCTTGGACAAGCTTTACTCCCACACGTGCCTTTCCTTAGGTTTTTTTGCAAAGTGATTATAAAATCATAGAATCACAGAATGATCAAGGTTGGAAAAGACCTTAAGGTCATCTTGTTCCAACCGCCCTGCCGTAAGCAGGGACATCTCACACTAGGACACATCAAATGACAGTCTCATGAACACCTGAAGCCCCTCCATTCCTCACTTTTCACTGCCATTTTTCCTCCTCCTACCCTTCTCCTCATTCCAGTGAAATTTAAAATGGACAGATCTTAGTGACAGAGAGGAGGAGTACATTTCCTTCTTCTCCTGGCTCAGCTTCTCATGATCCTTTACCAAGGTGGTCAAACACCCACACTGTGGGTATTTCTAAGCTAGAATTTGTTCAGCAGGAACCACAAGCTGAGTGAAGCAGAAGCTGACCAGCATCAGAAAGCCAAGTGCTGCTAGACTACACACATAATCTTGTTGTCAGAAGGAACATTCCGGACACATCAGGATGAGCTCATTTAAAGCAAAGAGGTCCTGTGGTGCCAGCAGTTAAAACTGTACAGGAAGGAGATGTGGAAGTAATGACATCCTAACACATTTCAAAAGCTTTGTTTCTGGTTACAACTATCCATTAAAAACAACAACAACAAAAAATAATCATGGTCTAGCCTCAATAAAACACTGAATGATCTGGAAAACTAATGAACTTTGTCTCCACTATATCTGACCTCCTCACATGCTCATGGTGTTGACCACCAACTGCACAGCTCATAACCAGAAAGTCTCTTCAGGTAGATAATGCAGCACTGCTCTCTTGCAAAACTCTGCTAACAAGCAGTAGGTTCAAGCTCAATTTGGTTTTGCCCATCACCTTTTCAAGGCCATTCTAACTCACGTAGCCAGCTCAGAACTAAAATCTCAAGTTTCTATGGACAATGTTCAAAATGCTTAATCTCTAGCCTTCAAAACTTTGTTTACTTCTAGAGTGTCAGACAGCTGTCATTTCTCCCCTGGGCAAGTTCTCCTCACTGACTTGAGCATCTCTCTACCCTAATTCCCTTTCACTGAAGTAAGAATAAGGCATTGACTGAACCTGCAAGTGCTTCACTCAACAGAGGACATGAAGGTGTGCTCTTCAGTTCATGTATCTACGTATCAAAATAAATCCTGCTTTCTCTCTTTTTTTTTTTTTTGTCAACTTAATGTACGTACTGTATCTGTGGTAAGAGCTGTAAATCTCTGTGGAAATGAATGTATTTTTCTTGTATTACCACACTGTCTACGACTACAGATTTCTTATCCCTGACAGGGATTAATAATCAGAATCATATGAAGGAGCACATACAAACAGCTTCCACCTCCCTCAATAAATAACCTCTTATATTTTTCTTAATTAGGGTCATCCAACATGTGATAACTTCCTGTGCCCTTGAACACCTTTTAGATCACCCTTCCAAGATGAGATATGAAAACACTGGTCCCGCATCTATATATAAATTAAAACATGTCAGCTCTACAATTTAATTCAGGAAGACAGAATGGAAAAAGGATTTATATGTAAGGACAATAGAAAATCTATGTGCATCAGGCTAAAGACAGTCAAATACATGCAGATATCCAATTTTGTATCTACAGTGGAAACATCTGCTGGCTCTTATAGCTGCTTCTCTCCTCTCTTCTACTTCTATTTCCGTTCTTTTGCTTCCTAGTCCTCTTTGTTGAATGTAGATGCTTTTCCCTTATTATTTTTTCATCTTTGATTACCTTCTTGTAAAATAATAAAAGGAAAATGGAAAAGTTATTTTTTTCTAATGCCACCAGATCTAGAATTTCATGGCTGGGGTCCAACTAAATGCCTAACATTTTAAATTGTTATTTTTAATAATCATCTTTATATACAGAGGCTTGATCATTAAACAGGCCTGTATTACTGTAGCTCTATTTATAATCAACAGATAGCTCCACCTAGTGTCTTCTTAATTCATCAGTGAAACAGCTAAAACCAAATACTAAGATAAAACAGAAGCAAATTATAAAATCACCTGTCAGCTGGATGATGGCCACAGGCAGCATGCATTTATGCTTACCAGCATCACAAGGAAAAGACCATTTTAAGTAACTACTGTCTGATGATAGCCAGACAACGCTCTTGAGACAAGGAGCAACTACTTGCTTCTGTGGTATAAAAGTAATACATGCAATATAAAACAGTTTTACTGCTACCCTGAAAAGGTGAATGGCACTTAAGCTGTTTATATGGGTTATTCTCTCTAGGGTTTCATCATCAACAACAAGGAAATATTATTTTTAAATTTAACAGAACTTCCTTGAAATAGAATAAAGATATTTTTGTTATTGTTATCAAAACTACAGAACTATTTTTGGCTATACAAACCCTATAGTGATCCTCTCCATTAAGAAGTGTATCTCCCCTGCCAGCAGTTACAAAATAATTTACAATGTCGCTCAGAGATGATCAAAACAGGCAAATGCTCAAACTAGCTATCGGTATATCAGTTTTATTGATCTCTACCTTCAAACTTCCTAAGGCTGGTTCACTGCTGTGTATCTAGAAACATCTATCTTTCTCAAACTGTTACAGCTTCAGTCAGCAACATTTAGTGTCTAATAGCCTGTTCTTTTGACAAGACTACATACAGTTCAGACTGCAAAATCATTTCAAATAAAATCAGAGAAGTGAATATCCAATATGACAAGAAATTTCTTGTTTATCACCTTGGAAAAATTATATAGCTAATGAATAAGGGAGTTTACATTGAACAAAAGCATTTTGTAAGGCAAAATAAAGCAAATAATTTAACATAATCATCTCCTGTGAGCTACCAAGCAGTGTTTGAATGGTTGTTGCAACTCCAAAGAGGAAGGAAAGTGAGATCCTGCCTTACATTTAGAAATCACCACTTCTTAGATCGAGGACAACCCACTCCGATAGAGCTGACGTCTGTTTTAAACCTGTTCAAATCACCTGTCCGGAGCTGCTTACTGTTTCCACCCTAGTGGTGATAAAAAAAATATTTCAATATGTACAGTATACATGTAATGACCACTTACTGTGACAGAGAGGGAGTATATATTGGGGGGGGCAGGGGGTAGGAGAGAGAGGGAGGGAGGAAGTGGACAGGAGGAAGGAATGTATATTAAGATGATACATACACCAAAGAAAGCACCTGTAAATTTTCTCAAACTTTCTCAAAATAGTCAGTGGAAAGTTATGCTTCTGACTCATACAGTTTAAAGTATTCACAGCTAAATTCAGTGATTAAATGATAACCTTGCTGCAATACAGAATCTGAATTTAATAAAATGCATATAAAAATGCTCTCTGATGTTTCAAAAATAACAGAATACTCCAGTTCTCAATAATTTAGCAGTTACTGTCGTTTCTCATTAACAGCTTTCAAAATCCTGTCTGAAACAAGCTGATACAGAGAAATTAAGAGCAGTAATCAAGCAAGAAATGATAGAGCAGCTGGGTAGGCATCAAGTTGGCAAAACGTGAATACAGTTCAATAGCTGAAACAGATGCCGGAGTTGTTGAGAAACCCTGTAGGAGATATTGATGTATTTTCTTTATATAATACTGAACAACTGAATAAATGTCAAGAGCTAAAAACTGATGGAGAATAAAACCTGTCCAAAAACAAAACAAAACAAAACAAAACTATCTATAAAGCAGAGACCTGCAATAATATCTTTTCATTATACCAAAGCATTCAGTACATGCATCTTCATTTCCTCGGGATTCCTGAATATGCCAATACATCAATCAGAGCCTGCTAGTGAAGCAAAGGCAGCCTTTCCTAATGTTGTTTCGCATGTTTGCTTCTCTCTACCTGAGGCTTCACAGACTTAGAAAATACTTTATTCTTCAGTCTCATCGTAACACAACGCTCTCTTTCAAGCAAGCGATTCCCTGAGCTTGGAGGCAAGCAGGAAAGAAAGGGTAACACAAGCATAAATGAAACTGCAAAATCCATTTTGCACAAGGAATGTTGTTTTCAGAGTTTCAAGACCTCGGCAACAAATCCTCTGCCAGCGGAGGCAGCTCATTCTAACATATGCTTTGTCATGGTCAGTTTCTAATTACATTCATAATGATGCAATAGCTTTGATAATCCTACCTTCCATGCCAGCTGCTTTTCTTGTCACTCCATCATGCCAATAAGTTGGCTGCCGTAACAAATCAAGATAGTGCAAAACAGCATCTTTCCCCTGCATCTGTCATCTTCCTGAAAGCATTCTATTACTGCCGACTGCTGGGAACCAGAAAGTCTATTTGAATTCCAGCAGCTCCCCTTTCGCATGATTCAAGTTAGGTTAGGTGGGCATGCCTAACATGATTCTCTCCATCATTTATTATGCAGCTGCTACACCGTCGGTGTGGTAACCACTCTGACTTTATCCGATACGTCAGTCTTGCAAACCTCTACCTCCGTGCAAACACATGAGCCACAGAAGCATCTTGCATATAATGAGCATTCTCCCTGTCTAAAAAGAGTGCATCTGCAAATCTGTTTCAAATCCTGCCGCTCGCATTGTCCTCTAAGGCTGATGCAAATGTTTGAAGAATTTTTTTATTCTCACGTTTTGTCTCTTCAGAAAGCACGCCTCTTCATGCATGCTTGAATTATTCACACTTGAGCTAAACATTTGCTGATTTGTGTCCAACCAAACAGCACCTTCCCGTTGAAACTCTGCTCGAAAGCTACTTCTGAATAACAGTGCTGTGCTTTCACGCTCTCAACTCTCTTTCATTTTAAACATGGCTTTTATAGCTACACCTTTAGTTCTTTTCATGCAGTGAATGGATGTCTAATGAGGGAATGGCACATTTTTAAGCAATTTATCTACGTCTACCTGTAAGTGACTTGCTTTTTCTGCTTTATACATTTTAGCTGTGAGTGGATAGCAATATTAGAGCATCTTGATATTCTTAAAGTGGCAAGAACACCACCATAAGCTATTTTTTGCCAGCCTGTGGAGGACACTCTTAAACAGCAGAGTTTGCTTATCTGCTTCTGAGTATTGTGAATTAAAAGGATAGGATTGTTTTGTTGTCTATTTATATTTCCTGTTGGGGTGGGGGGGAAAAAAACACACTTGCGTCATTGATTTAAGAAGAATATTAATAGAAATTGACATACACACATCAATCAACCTCCAAGTTAAATTAGCTGCGTCTCCTCCCACCACTTCTGCCTGTAGTTCAGAGTCAAGGCATTTCATCTTTAATGCATATGCTTGCTCATGAGCTGAACAAACATCCCCAGCCCCACATAGGAAAGTTTGAATACTTGACAGAGAAAAAAGAAAACAACATATGCAGCTGCCTGGCTCAAACCTGTTAAGTGAAGTAGTGATGGAGAGCACAAGGATGATCACTCCTTTCTCAGCCTTTGCACAGTGGCAAAGGAGGAGGAAGGAAGGGGAAAGGGCACAGTGCCCTGGGAAGAGCTTTCCCTTGCAATGCAGCCAGCTCAGCATCCCTCTCCAATTCTCATATTCCTGGCTCAAGAGGCTCACAAAGTTTTACTTAAGCCTCACTTTTTCACCAAGGTAAGACGTGTTGGACTTCTCTGTGGTTTGCACATACAAGCCCACCCCAAAAGTCCCTTCCTCCCCAACAATTTCCTATCCTCAGTTAAGCTCCTGAGCCTCCTAGCTATGAAAAAGAAGCTTGAAAACATGAGCTTAGGGGAGCTCTAACTCACATAAAGTGAAGGGGGGGGGGGGGGGGAAGAAAAAAAAATAAAAAAAGGAAAAAAGGTAACAATCTGAGAATCTCCTACTTTAAAAAAAAATAGAAAAAATATAAACGGGGGAAAATAGAAATAAATAAAAAAAAAAAAAAAACAACAACAAAACAGGGCATCTGATGTCTTGCTCTAGACTTCCCACAGGGGAGTTATCAGTGGGTGGGACTACAGGGTAGACCCCTCCTCACCCCCACCAGAGCCCCAGCCCAAGGGCTAGAGAAAGGGTTTGGGGTCCCCAGCCCATAGGCATAGGGAAAAGCACGCTCCTGCAGCAAAAACCTGCTGACAGGTCACAGTGGGAACAGGATGGCACTAGGGTGCCGAGTGTGGGAGAGCTCCTGGCTCTGCTGGGAGGGATCCGACTGCCTGCTCTCGCCCACATCTAAATGGCACAGCTGACACCTGAATGAGCTAACATAGCATGGTGCGGGTTATATTTGATACTGTATTTATTCCTAGCATGCTGCCAGAAAATGCCTTTTTAGAGATTTCATGTAAATAAAGTAGAATTACTACATCTGTTCCTCTGTCTGTAGCAGCATGTATCAACAAGCTAATTTTGCATTCAAGGCAACAGAGACAGTCCTATTGTATAGTTGCAAAGTGCACAACTATAAAGTGCCTATCTCAAAATACTGTCAGATCCTTTTTGCTCACAGTTCAAGTCATTTCTGAAGTGAAACAAACCAGACAATAAATGGGGACTGACTTCGAAGTCACCATAAATTCTAAGTGTGTAAAAGGATATGCTTAATATTTCACACTTCTAGCTGCTTTGTGATTTTAAAACCATAGACACAGCAACAAGGCATTTACACAGTATTTCACAACAGAGGAGTTTGAGATCACAGCTCACATCACTTGGAGTTGCAGGAACAACTTAAAGTACCTAAAAGCTCACCAAAGGCTTGATTTCTAATTCAGTGAATTTTAAGCCGTGCAAGATCATAGACAGAAATATCCTGAAAAACATTTCATATGTTAATAAGACAAATAATACTTGTAAGAGAATGGGGGTATCTAGTACATCATAAATATACTTCAGCAGAAGCCTATTCCACACCCAGATACCTCAGAAGGAAGTACAGAAACAGGGATACAGCCAGAAGGGAGGGGGAAAGAAAGAGTGAAGGATCCATGGGGGTTTATCATTCAGTATTAGTACTGGGCAGCACAGCATAGAGTGGACACAATACTGTTTAGTCACACAGACCATTCCTGTTCAGATGAGGCCTATGGAAAGTACCCATTTTTTGGAAGGAGAAGGGAACTGTAATATACCAGGTTTTGAATCTTCTGTGTACACTAGTTGCACAAAAAAATTAGCCCAGAAATGAATGCAGACTATGGGAGGAGAAACAAGTATCAGTTATTCTGTTCACGTACTAATAGGGCAGATTAATAGCTGGCTTTGGTCTCCAGCTCTTCCGCATTTTTCTGAGAAAACAACAGCCTTGGTTCCTGCTTATTGTAACTAGATTCAGCATCTGCATAGACACAATTATAGTAACCCACCCATATGGAAGGAATTGCTTTAGAGAGAAAGCTCCACGGGTAGTGATCCCAGACTCTACAATAACACAAATACATAATTTTGTGTCTTATACAGATTAGTCCCCAGTCTGGAAAGAGGAAAAATGAACAATGAGTGCAAAAACACTCATCAAGTGGTATTCTGCTTTTTACAGTACTGAACTTCATAGGCAAAGAAAATACAATGTATTTGGGTGACAACAGCATGAGAAAGGAAGGAAGCTCATCTCTCTATTCCATCTACATCATATGGCAAAGAAATGTCTATTCATTTTAATTGCTTCACTGATACTGGAACAACTAATTGGCACATTCAGTGCGCTTGAGTTTGATTATGGTGGTGTGTGCACATTACAATGATAGTTAAGATACCATGAATCTCTTCCTGCTGCCATTTTCCCTTTTTGTTTTCCTCTCTGAAAGTACCAGTGACTCCAACTACATGAGAGGATATAATAGATCACTGAAAAAAATGAAGCAAGCCTTGACCTTCAGCCCTGCATGACGCTCTACATAATGCACTGTCTCTAGCATGCTAAAATGAATGCTGATTTTACCAAGCAAAAATTGTTCATTTGCTTTGCTAATATGTCTCCTGAAGAAAGTCAATTTCTCTTCCCTTTTTCTCTGCCTCCCATTATACTTAAGTACTTCATCCCTCCCCCTTTAAACAACTAACTCAGTCAATCAATCATGCAAGAAAATACCTTAATGATATACTGTGCATGTTTTGATTAATAAACATCTCCAATGGGAGCAGTGGAAAGCTTTTTGGACAACATAGACAGGAGTTATTAAATTATTTTTTACTGTTAATCATTCTATATTAACTACTTCTCAATTACATGACTTTTGATGTATAATTATAAACGTAAGCTGTCCATAAAGAATCACTTCCCATAGAGTTGAAGCTAGTAGTACTTCAATTTTAATGACAATATCTCAATATTTTAGAGAGGCTGATTTCTGACAATTATAGCACATGTAGCTTTGACTGCTCAAGATTTAAATAAAAATGCTACAGAAATGTATAAAAATCTGAAAACGAATAATGCATACAAAGTCATGTCTCTAGAAAGTAAAAGCCCAGTGCAACCATCATCTCCACACAGATTCTTATACAAGCCCTGGGTCTCCAATGGAATGGTTCAAAGGCCCAGTCATCCAGACAAGGCTGCTGATTTAGCCAAAAAAGAACTTTCAGATGTGGATGTCTAAAATCATCCAGCCCAACACCTGTCAGCAATTCCAAGAGCTGAAACTTTAAGGAGTTTGAAACATTTCGCTCATCTCCACCATGTTTTATTCAATTATTTTTGTCCAGCAATCTTTTTTTTTTTAATCGATTCTCAGGTGTACAAAATTCACATAAGTTCAACATTTTGCCATAAACCAAAAGCTCAGAAGATACTTATCTGAAGACAGGCTAGGAGGAGTCATGACTAACCTTTCAAAGTGAGAACGATCCCATTTATGGTAAGAAACTTTTACAGAGTTTTATTACAGATGTACTACAACAATAATAAGCAGTAATTTCCTCAGCAACCCAAAGATTTCACATTACAAGACTTGGAAATAAAAAAATATTCAGAAAAGATGTTACAGAAACTGTTATCTGAGGGCATCACTAATGGCAGAGCACAGCATACCAAAAACTGGACACTCTATATAATTTTTTAATATTACTGTGTGATATGGTCATCTGAACACTGCTACAAACCTGGATAATATCATCTCTCAAATGCAGCAACTGTTGAGGATTTTTAATGCCAACCTCTGCTTATGTCTACAGATAAGCCAACAGTCTACATTTTCTTCTCACATAGCATATGTATTTCAGTGACTGTGAATTTTAAATACTAGGTTCTACTGAGAAAGAAAAGGAAAAAAACCACCAACCAAGCTAACTCATTTTCCAAATATTTAACACACATCAGAAAGCAGAGACACAGAGTTTCACTACGAAATACTCAGAGAATTGGTGACCTTGAAGCCTTCAGGAAACACTGTTAATCTTTCTCCTTAAGCATTCCTTGTATGTGCTGTTAGCACAGAACTACAAAATAACATGAAGTTTTAAGATGCTAATTATATATAACATGTATTTTGTTCTCTCACAACTCATTTTAAATGAGACTGACTTGAGGTACACAGCTTTAACCTTCTTCCATTTGTACCTTTACTTCCCTGGGAAAAGGCATTGTTCAGCAATACTAGGCTTGAAATAATTACCAACATAAGCATCTTAATTTGTTCATTCTTTCTACAGCTGCAGTCCATGTATAAAATGATGCATAACAGATGTACCAGAAAAAAAAAACAACACAACACAACAAACCAAAACCAAACCCCAAAACACCAGAAACTGAGAGCCAGACCTAACAACCTAACACACATCTCAGCCTACCCTTCCCTGCAGCCACTGTGTGTCAGTACTTCATTCAATGTGGTTTTGAGATCATCAGTGCTCTCACCTAGTACCGCGAAGT